GTCATCCTCGACGGGGGCAACTACATCAAAGGGGTGGCGGTACCAGCTCCACTGCGAGGCCAAGGCCGTCAGGACCCCCTGCGCGCTGCTGCAGGTTGGCTGCTCCGTCGACCGGGCGCGGTCGGTCAACGAGGCGCGGCTCAAGGCGGCAGCAGCAGCAGCAGCAGCAGCAGAAACTTCAGCAGCAGAAACTTCAGCACACGGCGACACGGCCGGCGACAACGCGCCGACGACAGAAGCCTACGAGCCCGCCAACTGGGAGAACCTCGTGTTCCGCTACGAGGAGCCGAACCCCATGACGCGGTGGGACAGCCCGCTCTTCACGCTCATCTGGGAGGACGACGACGCGCAGGCCAAGTCGGTCTTCGCGTCGCTGTGGGAGGCCGTGGCGGGCGAGGGGCGCAAGGCCGTCAAGCCCAACCAGGCGACGGTGCAGCGCAGCCGCGACGCGGGCGGGGACTACCTGTACGTGCTCGACCGGGAGACGCAGGACATTGTGCGTCGGATCCTCGAGGGGCAGGGCGAGGAGGGCGGCGGGACCGTCAGCGTGCCGAACGGCGGGGGCGCCCGGGCGAGGGAGCTGACGGTCGAGCTGCCGGGGCGGAAGCTCGGGGTGCCGCAGATGCAGAGGCACCGGAGGGCGTTTGTGGGGCTGAACCGCGGCGGCATCGGGCTCGAGGGCGTCGGCGAGTTCACCGTCACGAGGATGAGGGAGGGGTTCGTGGGGTACCTCAACGACGCCTTTGACAAGGAGGATGTGTAGGCTGGCAACCACTGCATGCTGGGGCTGCGGCCAGCAGGCCGGCTACCAAGCACCTGCATTTACGAATAATGATACCTCGAGGCAGGACTTGCCTCCATGCATTCACATTTTGGTCTATGCGCTGGCCGTCATTGTGTGGAACAACATCTTTGGCAGCATAGCACATGTACATGTACTGCCCAAGCCACCAGGTCAGAAATGGCCAGCACCCTCGGTGGAAAAAAGCGGTGGCTTGACAGCATGCTCAGCGCTACAAGCTCGGCGCATGTCACGATGCCGAGACCCAGGCGGCCGGCACGCATCGTGGGTGCCAAGTGCCAAAAGACCAGCCTGGACCGCGACGGGCCTCGTCTGGTGTGGGCAAGCAACCTGATTTCGAAGGGTGGGCTTTCCCCTTTGGGACAACAATACGTCCTGAACCTGCAGCACATCACGATATCGACGTTGGCTTCGATGGCGCGTCGGCCGCATCGGGACGAGACGAACGAAGAGCCGCAGAGCACCCCGCTACTTTGATCCGAGCGGCTTCGCGCTCGTCAGGTTTCTGGTTTCTGGAAGCTTGGGAGGCAAGGGGAAGACATCTTTTCGACGACCGAGTTGTGGCTGGTTTGCGCCGCCTGCGCACCTGTCTGTACAGCATGTAGCCCCAGCCCTACCTGCGTAATGACGATATTGTGAGACAGAGGATGCAGCACGACGCACGAATCTGGACGGCAAGAATACACGTAGCACAGTAGGGCCATACCCGGCAAACTCGGCATCACGAACGGTTCAGAACTGGTTTTCAGACAGGGAGCCAAGCACCGTGTGGAGGTGGCCTGATGGCGCGTCCTCCCTGCAGCTGGCAGCCAGCCGGCAGGGCAGATGTACTGAACTGTACATGTACAGCATCATCCTGATTCAAGCGCCTCACAGTGGCAGTTGACTGGTTGACTCGTGGGGGGATCTTGGCGCGCGGTGGTGCGAGAATGACGCATAGGTCCACCACCCTTCCACAGAGCGGCCGGTGCGTTCCCCACGCGCGACAAGCTTTGCCAAGAGACAGCAGCCAAGACGGGCGGGCTGGCTGTAAAGTTTTGCGGACGAACCGCCGGGCTGGGGGTGAATGGAAGCTTTCAAAGGAAACGCCTGGGACGGCTGCTACTGCGCTTGGCTTTAAGCTTCTGTTATACTTTCCACCGGTGCCTTCTTACGTGATGTGTGGAAAAAAAAAGCCCCTCGAACAAACCACCGGGTTGCGAGAGAGGGGCGGGCTTGAGAACGTGGGCTTGGGCGGACGGTTTATCGTGCGCATGGCGGCGGGCGTGGCAGCGAGGGCCGCTAGAGGTTACTGAGCATTGGGCCCATCGACTTTTGGCTCACTTCATCGGTAACTATCCCTGGCGTTCGCAGTTGGAGGGTTTCGTCCCGTGATGTCGTGTCCTTGCTGGTAGCAGTGTAGACATTTCCTGTACCCGCGTGAGTCTCTCCATTGACAGGCGGACAGTCCGGCAATTGGGAGAAAAGGACGAGCCAGTTTCGAGAGTACCCGATGTCAAGTGATTGTGCGGGGACCATGGTCTGGACTTTGCTGTCTGGTTTTAGGCCGGTTGGTAATTGGGGTGATTTATCTGACTGGGACTCGGTTCATGCCTGCTAACCCCCGTACCTTGGAAGCGCGCGACGGAGGGAAGGCCATCAATGGTGTCCAGAGCAGCCACTTCAAAGAGCCCCTTGCCGTACCTGGATTGCTTGCCCAGTTGGATAGATGTACCATGTTAAGGACAGATCGGGGACGATGGATGGACTGGAGGAAAGAGACGACAGTAGAAGAAGAGGAGGCGTGGAAGAAACAGAGGAGTGACAGTCGGCGCACTGTGACAGCCCGTAAGACACGGTGCGAGAGAGGCCGTGGCTGGCTCGTGGGTGGCAGGGCTAGCCAGTCAGACGAAGCGGGTCCACATCATTTCCCCTTTCCACCAGCCAACAGGCAGTGGGTCGGCTGGTGTGCTGCGTCGATGGTGCCGAAACGCGCGCTCCCACCCCCTCTTTTTGCAATAACTGTGGTGGGTGTTCGTCCTTTTCCGTCCATGTCCGTTCATAGCCTGTCCATGTGGGAGAGGGGGGGGACGGGAGGATTTGTGTCGCCATCAAATCAAAATCACCAGGGGGTCGACATGGGGGAGAATCGCAATGATCCGCAAAAACGGAGGGGTTGAGCACTGCACATCACACTGTACCCAACTGTGTCTGTATCAAGTTTTCAGTGCGGCGCTGTCCAACAGGAACCCCGAACTGTGGGCGATTGCCGCAAAACAAGTCGACGTTTCATCACGACAACCATGAGCTTCGTGCGACACGGACGCGTCCAGGGCTCCCCATACGAATTCTCTCTCTCTCTCTCTCTCTCTCTCTTGTGTCGACGCGTCGTGCCTAATAAGGCAGCGTGCCTAATAAGGCAGGCATGTACTATATCTGAGATGGGACGCTTGTTGTGTCCAGTGCTGTGCAGTGCAGTTCAGCGCTTTGCGATGCACTCACTTCCCGAGTCTCGCATGTAGGTAGGTGTCCGTATGCTGTAGGTTTGCGGCGACCTACGGTGCCACGAGAGTGGCTGTCACTGTAGTGGGTAAGGGACCGAGGGCAGGTCCCTTACCCTTAGGTAAGGTACCTACCTAGGTACTTCTCGGTCCCTACAGCCCCCGATGGCGGTCCCCTGCGTCCCTTGCTGCTGGGACTGTTCAACGAGGCAATGCAGCGCCGATCAGAAGGGGTCCATTTGGCTGGGCTGTTCTTCTGCAAGGTGCTGTGCTTCAGTACTTGTTTTGTTCTTGGCCAAGCATCGCATCATCATAACCGCAAATGCACCACAAGATACCGATCGAGGCCTTGATTGCTCGTTGTGATGTTCGGCCTGCGAGCCTACGAGCCTGCCAGCCTGGCGGCATTGTGGACAATCTAGTTCCGGGCATGATACATTTGGACAGCCAGAGAAAGTGACAGGTGAGCAAGGGCCCCCCTTGTGGTGGGCCTCACTGAACTCGAACCAGTTTTAGTGTCGCCACCGTCCACTCACGGCCGGTCAATTCAGATCTCTGCAAGCCGCCAGCACGACGGCACGCATGCTTCTAACGTGTGCTGTGGACTGCTGGGAAGTACACCCAGAGGGCACCCCCACACTGTCTGAATGGGCGAACCGACTGGCACGGTGCTCCTCCGTATCGCACCGTGTGCAACTGCTGCGCCTGTCTGGTTCCCCGGCATGGACCCCGGTTCCCCCCCCTTGCTCCTTCTGTTTCTCTCATATCCATCTGTCTCCCCTCGAAGTCCGGTTATCCTGCTGTGCCCGCGAGTCCGCCCGTCCACTGTCGCTGCCGCTTCCTTCAACCACGCACCAAACATACTCTCGAGACAAATCACGGTCCAGACAATCCGGCCTCACAGTCCCTCGATATACAGCAAGCGAAACCCTGACAAGACTCACCGGCCCAGCCTGAACGCTCGTTTCTATCAATCCGGTTTTTGCATTCTTGAGCGAACCCCCCCCTGGGAGACCAGTACCAGACACCTTCCCCCAAATCTGCAGTACGCGTTCCCAAGCCTCTCGGCGCCCAGCCATCGATCAAGTGCCAACATCTCCACAATCTTGTCTTCCCCGACACTTGATGATCGCCTCTTGACATCGCCCTGACTTCGCCTTGTCTGGACACGATACTCGACTCTCGAAAACCCTGTCGCGACGACGACCGAACCCGGCGTTCCAGCTCAACCGACTTTGCCTTCGACCGGTCGGCTACGCTGTCCCGACTCGCACCCATCCATCTACCCGGAGTCTCCCACAGCGCGCGTCTTGTGCTCTTCTTCGCCACAACTACGACGACGGTTCTAAATCGCGACACGACTGATCGACTACCTGCGACTTGAAGTGACGGTCTAACCCTTGCGTATTCTCGATCGCAACGAACACTCCGTACCTTCCGACTCAACGACTTCGCATCTCCAAAACCTGCTCATGCGACGACCATCCAATGGCGATTGAGTAGTCGCTCTCGAACACCTCGCTCCCTCCTCCTCCCTCCATCATTGAGCGGCCGGCCGCCTTGTGTGTCCTTTGCAGGTCACCACACGCCAGTTCGGTCCGCCACCATGGCTGCGAGCGTGAGTTCCTGGCTCGCGGCCGCGACGCCCACACCAACCCTCGCCTCCGTTGCTTCCAAATGTGCGACGACGCTCTCCGTCGGTGCCGTCCTATCCTTCGGCCCCGGCCACCCCTTGACCACGCTCACCCACGCTGCCATTCTCGAGACCCCCTGCGCCGCTGGTCAGACGCCGACGTCCTCGTCATTACCGTCCGTCCTGCTGGCCAACGCGGAGGGCATCGATGCCCTCGACACTGAAACGAGCGGCGGCTCGCCTCAATTCTCCGACTTTCGCGACGCCTTTTACGAGTCGACCTTCCCCGTCTGCTACGTCCTCGCCGCCACGACTGTCACCGCCTACATGCTCGTCATCATGCTCTTCGTCACCCCACGCTCCTTCCTCGACGGCGGCGTTGCATATCTCGGCCGCAGCGGTTTCACCGGCAGCTCGCCCAACGGCATCAGCATCGGTGGCCGCCCGTGGCTACAGAAAGTAGCCGCCATGACTGTCGCC